AAACAAACTCAAATTAAAGATATCTTTATTATAAAGTCCTAGTCTTAGCCACTTAGCTGTAATTATCAAAAGCACGAACTTGATACCACAGAAGTTTTTTTTTTTAAGTATACAAACGCTGTACATAACGTATTTATTAACATGAAAGAACACACGCCATCTTGACCTGACAGAAGTTAAACTGGTATTATATGATAAGTGAAACAAGACATGATAACATATGTAAATAATTGAACACGTGCAATATCATCTTATAGTTCTTTTTAATATGCAAAAATGACTCGGATTTTAGCAATAAAACTCGTATGTCAAGTATACGCATAAAACTGACCGATAATTTGTGAGTTTTAAGAACCTAGTACATAATAAAAGGTTTAATTTCAGTTCAGTTTGATTATTTTCTTAGTGAAAAATTGTGGCGCGACTGTCTGACGAAATCTACTTGTGACCTTAACGACTGTGAAACGCTTGGGATCACGAGGTATGATGTATCATTTTTACAAACCCAGTTCTTCATGTTCATGGTTATTATCGTAGTTTGACTCTAGGGGTGAGGAGGTGGGCGGTGGAGGCGTGACTGATTGACACGTGAAAAGTCAACTTATGACCTCTCTACCTGTGACACATTCTTCAACACGATATATGACTGCCGTATCGTTTTTACAGCTCAGTTCTTCATGTTCATGGTTATTAAAGTAGTTTGGCTCTATGGGTGAGGAGGTGGGCGGTGGAGGGGTGACTGATTGACACGTGAAAAGTCAACTTATGACCTCTCCACCTGTGACACATTCTTCAACGCCATATATGACTGCCGTATCGTTTTTACAGCTCAGTTCTTCATGTTCATGGTTATTATCGTAGTTTGACTCTAGGGGTGAGGAAGTGGGCGGTGGAGGCGTGACTGATTGACACGTGAAAAGTCAACTTATGACCTCTCTACCTGTGACACATTTTTCAACACCATATATGACTGCCGTATCATTTTTACAGCTCAGTTCTAGGATAATCTTATTTCTAACACAGGTGTCTTTGCTTGTAAAACACCATTCAAAGAGCATCACGTGTAAATCATGAAAACAAAAACACATACTACGTTGACAGCCTAGAAAAACTGTTTACGTAATAAATCAGGAATGAAACTCATATGGCTGACTGATCATTTCAGTTTGATCTGACAGCTCAGAAGATGCAATTTACAATTAAAATAAGGCTGTTTCGATTTTTTGTATTTGTAATTGTAATGGTTTTTACTTATGTATACTGTGTTGATATTGGAATTATTTCACTCGCGGGACTGGTGAAGAAAAACATCGCAATCCATTTGTAGACTGTCAAAATATTTACGCTTACTTTTCTGTTATTTCTTCTTAAACCTATTCAATCAAAGTGTTATTTATAAAATGACTAGAACTTGTAATAAACGTGTCAATAATCAAAACCAGGTGGAAATATAGTGTTTAGGTTACTGATTTATTTAATACAGTTATGTCGTTAAATTTCGCTTGAACGTGTCAACAATCAAAACTCAGGTGGAAATATAGTGTTAAGGTTACTGATTTATTTAATACAGTTATGTCGTTAAATTTCGCTTAAATGTGTCAACAATCAAAACCCAGGTGTAAATATAGTGTTTAGGTTACTGATTTATTTAATACAGTTATGTCGTTAAATTTCGCTTGAACGTGTCAACAATCAAAACTCAGATGGAAATATAGTGTTTAGGTTACCGATGTCGTTAAATTTTCGCAGGAAATTGTGATGATTGTTTGGTTCACCTTCGAGTTCTTCCTCCGATTATGGTCCGCTGGTTGCAGATCTCGCTATCAAGGCTGGTTGGGTCGCCTTCGCTTTCTTCGAAGTCCATTCTGTGTCATAGGTAAGTTTAAAGGTCATCTTATTATTTTCGATTAGGAATCAAGTAAGCACTGTAAGAAAAAACTACTTATAATGACTATTTGGAGTTCTCAGAGATCCTGTAAGTTTGCAAAACCGGTGTCTTTTATAAATGTTTGGTATTATTATTACGAAACAAAGCAAGAATCTGTATTAAAAAAGTAGTAGATTAATTAAAATTTGTGCTTTAAGACAAATATCTTTATAAGGAGGCTGTACTCGTGTTAAAGTGCCACGAAAAGTTTGTGTTTTTGTATTTGATAAACGTTTCAAAACTACATACATCATTGCATTTCTCTTAGTTTTTTACCGTTACTATATGCAGTCGAACATCAGCATGGCGAAGTGCCAGGGACTTTGGGAATTTGCGAAATATTAGAAGTTTGAAATGGTTCATCCGGGTCTTTGAACTTAAGTTTGATCCATTAACAAATATAAAGTATTTGATACAATAAATGCTAAAAAAATAGACGGATGGGCTGGGTTCCGACTTTGATACCAAAGTTCTATGTACCGAGGTTGGACTATGTTATAGCATTTGTTTGTTTGTTTGTAGTTAAGCACAAAGCTACACAATGGGCTATCTGTGCTCTGCCCACCACGGGTATCGAAACCCGGATTCTAGCGTTGTAAGTCCGCAGACATACCGCTGTGCTACTGGGGGGCATGTTATAGCAGCGTAAGTAACGTAAACACAATATCTCATTGTAATTAAATACTCCATTAAAATAAATCACAGTAGATTTTATTGAACTAAGATTTTAATTAGTTTCTTATTTTTTTCTGGGTGACTCTTTTGTTATTCTTACCTTTACGACTTAGCAACTATATCCGTGAACACTTCTGATATTGATTCGTTAGCAAACATAAGCTACAGAGATAAATCCAAAGACATCATTGAGTGCTTATATAGTATATTTGTAGAAGGAGAAAATAATTTCTACTCTCTTTTACTCTTATATATAGTGTCTGCGCACTTAATGCGCGTCAGAATAACGTTGCAACTTACAAATTAATGGTTTTGGAACGCTGCTCTTATTTGCCACTTTTACGTCGTTTATTCGTTCATTAATCTTTCTGCCAACCTCCGGGTGCATTTGTCTGTGCCCTTGTTCCTTTGTAGCAGCGTGTAGAGAGAGAGAGAGAGGGCAGTAGTTGACTAAAATTTAAAATAACAATAAATCTATTTCAGATATTCGGATATTATATTTAACAAAACATTGTTTTATTTATCTATTACTCTGGTCTCACTTTCATGATGCAAGGCAGGAATGTTTTATTCAGTGATAGTTATTATATATTATCTATCAGGAAAGTTGATGTAAAAAAAAGAATAATCAGGAGAAGACCAGTTCAGTTGATGGCACGAAAGAGATATCACATAACAAGTCAAAGTAAAGTGTTGAAAAGTGTTGAAAATTTTATAAGAATTGAAATGGATAGAGCATGTACACTAATGACACATGTAGTTATTTCTGGACCTCGGTGATAACACATAACTCTTGTTTTTAGCGGTTTCGTGAAATGTTATCTGTTCCTTATGATAGTCATTATATTTATCTCACATCTTATAAAAACTAAAGACTAAAAACCGTGATTCTATAAAAGATAATGATACAATCTGAAAAATAACAGCGTTTAAGTCTTGGGCTATATTAAAAGCTGAACTTTCTTAACTATTAATGTTTGTGTTAAAATTCCACCACAATTGTAACTTTGAGATTGGTACAAAATATTAATCTTTGTTATGGACTTTTTAATACTTTTTGAGTTTACTAGTATAGTTTTTAAACTTTATTATCAGAATTGTGTACGTCCAGAAAATATATAACAGCAAGCAGAATTTGTCGAAACTTAAATTTGAATGTGTATGTATGTTTGATAATTTCTTTTTTTAAGTATACTATTCGTGTGAGTCAACTCTAAGGTTTGAACTTGGGCTGTACCTAAAGAGCAAAAAGTTGAATAAAGCCTATTTGAAACAGAGATTCTGATGTTACGAACTGACAGTTTTAATATTCCCTTCTTACGACTTTAATACACTTTGGGTATTAAGTAGTAGTAGTGTAGGAAGTGGTATTGTAGCCATGATTTTTCATAACCGTACCTTTCTCTGTCAGCTATGTTTGGCTTATTTTTTTTACATGGAAACAAAGGCATTGAAAGTATATTTTGTAATTTAATATCAGTTCTTTTTGCTGAATTTTGGGAAACAACACTTTTCACCAGTAACTTTGCACATTATTTTGAAGTAAAAAAATCAATGAAAAGAAATTAAAACATGATTCTATTTAATTCTTAGTCAAGTGATTTATACTTAATGTGAGTTTTAACTTATATATTGTAAGAGGTAGTTTAATCTCGTTGATCTACAGACGTTAACTGATGTATACAATCAAGTACTACGGTCAGACATATTAATCTCTCTCATTAATCTATCACTGACGGCGATAACCTTTTAGACAAATATATTTCTGGTGTTTCATCGTTAAATTTTTTTTCTCCTAACCAGATGTAATTGTCATCATTGCATCCTTTGTGGTACTAGCTGTGGGGAGCAGTGGGCAGGTGTTTGCTACTTCTGCCTTGCGAGGGCTCCGTTTCTTCCAGATCCTGAGGATGGTGCGTATGGACAGGAGGGGCGGAACCTGGAAACTTCTAGGTTCCGTTGTCTATGCACATCGCCAGGTGAGGCTCAAAGCAACGCTATTAAAGTTAGCGTGTTTGTTTAGCGAAATAAGAGGCTCATGAAACGTAAAGTTATTTTACAATGTGAAAACTAATTAACTTAGCTACATTAGTAAAATTTATATAGCTTTACAAATAAACAGGGTGAGAATAAAACTAATTAAACCAGATCTGCAGATATATTCAATGTGGTTAAGTTATTACGTTAATCTAAAAATCATTACTATTTTTAAAAGGGGGATAGTTTTTTTTGTTTTTTTTCAATAAATAGAATATCAAATATCATTGGAAGCGTGCGTAATTGGTTATATTATTCCTTTACTTCTTAGGTTGAAGGAAATAAGGCACGAGACATACATGTTCTAGTGTTTTTTGAAAAATAAATACTACTTTTTTGAATATTACTTTTTCTTCACAAACAAACAAAAACTTTGTTAGTGAAGTAACAAGCTGTTCGGTTTGATACAGATATAAATAATGCCTTAAGAAAACTTATAATTCTAAAATTGGAATCATTTCTTCACAAGAAATAATGTTAAACAATTATTCGTTGTAAAAAAAATCTTTCTTCAAGAAATGTTTTGTACTAATCTTAAATAAATATATATACATATATTATATTTCTCTTATTTCTCTTAAAGGAACTCATCACCACTCTGTACATTGGCTTCCTTGGTTTGATATTTTCATCATTTTTAGTTTATCTCGCTGAAAAGGACCAAAAAAACACGAACTTTCATAGTTTCGCTGACGCTCTCTGGTGGGGAGTTGTAAGTTTCCGTGAATTTCTAATCTTGTGATTTAAGTTACTAAGAAAATCGATTATTTTAAAAAACTAGTTGAAAGAGTAAAACACCAGTAGCGCATCAGTATTTTTTATATATTTATATAATTATTTACAAACGTCATAAATGTGGAATATATTATTTCCAAACGTGGTCAGCAAGTTGTTCCGACCTTCTTGTGTACGAAAATCTTGAATAATTAGAATACATTAAATCTCTTTCAACCTATTTTCATGTACTTATTTTTCTTGTTACCTTTGAAGTGAAAGAAGACTAGACCTTAGTGTCAGTTAGTGTTATAAACATGTAACTTCTAGGTTTTTCCTAGAACGAAGGTATGACAAGAAAAGAAACAAAGAAGCACACACACACACACGCAAAGTATAGTTTTTACTAAGCTTTACTTGGAAATTCGTATTTTATGATACTTGCTGGATCAAAATTAATTCAATGACAAACAAAAACTTGTTTGTTTTCTAGTACATGTTACACCTATGTAATACCTTTACAACCAACTAGTACTACAGATAGTTCCAATTATCTTATTATTGTCTTATTTTACTTATGCTGCAGCGTACGAATGTTTTAGCCTTAATTTCTGAAAACGTCTATGCTTGTGAAATTGAAGAAATGAAGCTGGCGAAGATTGCAAGACTCATTTTCTCTCTTCCTTATTGGTTAAAATCGTGTATGCATACCCGTAATGTTATTGAAGCTGACGAATATTACAAAAAAAAACTTTGCTCTTCGTTATTGGTTGAAATCGTGTTGGCATACTCGTAATGTTATTGAAGCTGACGAAGATTACAAAAAAACACTTTGCTCTTCGTTATTGGTTGAAATCGTGTATGCATACCCGTAATGTTATTGAAGCTGACGAATATTACAAAAAAAAACACTTTGCTCTTCGTTATTGATTGAAATCGTGTAGGCATACTCGTAATGTTATTGAAGCTGACGAAGATTAAAAAAACACTTTGCTCTTCGTTATTGGTTGAAATCGTGTAGGCATACTCGTAATGTTATTTAAGCTGACGAAGATTACAAAAAAACACTTTGCTCTTCGTTATTGGTTGAAATCGTGTATGCATACCCGTAATGTTATTGAAGCTGACGAATATTACAAAAAAAACACTTTGTTCTTCGTTATTGGTTGAAATCGTGTAGGCATACTCGTAATGTTATTGAAGCTGACGAATATTACAAAAAGACACTTTGCTCTTCGTTATTGGTTAAAATCGTGTTGGCCTACTCGTAATGATCGTGTTCTTTCTACTTAACTTAACTGTGTTAAAAATATTTCCGATTTTATTTTTAACTTCACATAGGACTGTTTATTTCGTAGCAACTGGTCTATAATTACATGCAGCTCAGAGTATTTACGTTATTACTGAATACAATTTAAACTTGTACATAAAGTACTATGAAACTTGTGCGATAATGGAAACAGGTACTCAGAAAGTTTGAGTTTGGTTCGTCGAAGAATATTCGTCACCGAAATGGTTACAGGCGCCCTCTACATACTAAGATTAAGACTTTCTAATAGCTTCGCCACAACTATGTATAGAAAGTGATTTTATTAACTGTAATCGACTTAGCGTATTTGTGCGCTATCAGATATATACATGTTTTATATATATCAAACTTAATTAGTATGAGAATGAGTGTTATTTAAAATTATTTCTCAATATTAATATATCCTATGTATGGGCCTTAAAATGTTAAATAGAAAATATCTGTGTTTCAGGTTACGTTGTGTACTGTAGGATATGGTGATATGGTCCCTACTACTTGGCCCGGGAAACTAATAGCAGCCTTCTGTGCTTTATTAGGAATATCATTCTTTGCTCTTCCTGCCGTACGTATGGTGTGGTTCATAAGATAGTTCATTAAAGTTCATGTGATCAACAGCTTCCCAGTTTATCGTACTTTTAATGGTTGATTTTTCTTTCGTCACTCCTGCGAATGCAGCCATGTATGTGGTGTTATATGTAAATATTATGTACTTAAATAAGTTGGTAACTTGAAGTTCTGTGAATGTTATGCATCGTGCATCCCTGTTTTACTGAGGAAATTCTACAGTCAGTTAATTAACCATATTTGCAGTATATTTGCAGTATATTTGCATCCCTGTTTTACTGAGGAAATTCTACAGTCAGTTAATTAACCATATTTGCAGTATATTTGCAGTATATTTGCATCCCTGTTTTACTGAGGAAATTCTACAGTCAGTTAATTAACCATATTTGCAGTATAAAATAAAAATGTGAGTCTACGTTTGATTTAGAACTGTTCACTTTTTATCTAATAGAGTGGTTAATAGTGGTTGAGTGACTGTCTAAAAACATAAAAGACTGATTCGTAAATACACTATGCTCTTGTTAATGTGTGCTAATGAAATCATTATTGGAAATTAAAAAAGATTGTGAGTCGAAAATATATTATTATTTTGCTAATGTTTGCTATTTTAGTTGCTATCAATAACAGAAAATATTACGAATTTCAAATATAGAGTGATATTTTTTATATAAAACACACTAAATATACATTGATTAAATCTTCAAAATATGAAAATAACTTAATCATCATCCCATAGGTTTATGTTTTGATCATTCATATTCGGTTTCCACGTGACATTCGACAAAATTACAGTACGCCTGTAAAATCATTTCTCTTGCATAACAGAACTATACCGTAAGGAAAACATTATCAACTAATCATCCCAGTGTTTATAATGTAACAGTTATATCGTAGGAAAAACATTATCAACTGATCATCCCAATATTTATAATGTAACGGTTATATCGTAGTAAAAACATTATCAGTTTATAACTGTTACATTATAAACATTGGGATGATCGATAATGTTTTTCCTACGATATAACTACTGTTGTATAAACACTTGGATAATTAGCTCTTGTTTATTAGAAATGCTTCTGTTACGTTTTTCTTTCTGAAAATGCAACTTTAATATTATTTTGTTAATTTCGTGAGCTCTAAAACTAGTTTAAGCTTAGAGATATGATAATATAATAACCTTCTAACTTCTATTTATTTAGTATATTCTTGTTAAGCTAGTGTACAAGTTATAACCATTTTTATAACTATGTTTTCGTTTTTTTTTACTTTAAGCCTACTTCTATAATAATTGAAACTTCACTCATTAAATTTTTTATACATTCGCATCTGAGATACAACAACTTAAAAATGATGTTTTCTTTTAATAGATTTATCATACTTTATGACTTTTCTTTGGCTGCATAAAACACTATACGATTTATGCGTACATTAATGTAGCCAAATTATAGTATAAACGCTCGAATGATTAGCTGAAAATGTTTTCCCAATGGTATAACTATTGTTTTATAAACACTGAGATGATCAACTGATATTGTTTTCCTTACGGTATGGCTATTGTTCTATAAACACTAGAATGATCAGCTGATAGCGTTTTTCCTACAATTGCGTAGTTATGTGTTCTCACTGGAAATAGTCTTACCTTGCTTTCAACTTATTATGATTTTTACTTATTGATTTAGAATGTAATTTTTTTGGGACAAAGAAATGCATAGTTTAGGCTTTTCGCGATCATAGCTGATAAACATTCAGCTCGTAGTTTATAAAAAAAAAGAGTGGAGTTAATTGTGCACATTGAATTGCATTGTTAGTTGGAGTAAATTTCTGAATTGCTACTGAAATTGTATAATTAAATTTTAATAAATTCGACAAGAAAAGCTTTTCAGCAAATATATATATATATATATATTTTAATTTATCCCTATTATACTATCTTATCTTGGAGACTTTTTCTAGCTTGTGTATGATGATATATAATCATTACAATAGTTATCGTTTGAAATAATAAAATTCATCGATACTGCAGGGAATCCTTGGTTCCGGATTTGCTTTGAAAGTACAACAACAGCAACGACAAAAGCATATGATAAGACGAAGGGTACCTGCCGCTACTCTCATCCAGTGCCTCTGGCGGTGCTATGCAGCGGACGAGCATTCTATGTCCATAGCTACCTGGAAAATTCACCAGGTGCCACTACCGAGCCCGCCCCCGTGAGTGCGTGACTGTGTTATAGCATATATGTTTAATAACATTGTTTATATCGCACTGAATGAGGAAAATCTTATTTTGTAGCTCGTTTAATGCAGGCTTTTCTTTCGATGTCTTTCTCATTGTTTTAGCCTATCATACATTAACTTTCATGTTTTCGCACATAGTCTATTTGTTTTACAGTTCAAACATTTATCTGCCTTTTTTCACAAGTTTGAAAAGTAAAGTTAATATTATGAAGACATACGGATACGAAATACAAATAGGTTCTGGTTCGGTATTCACTAACAGTACTTAACTAATTAGTCGTGTATGAGTATCTAGATACACGGAAACGTTTTTAAACTGATATTATCTATTTATATATATATATATCTTAGCTAAGAAAATATTATTCTGAATAATTTAATGGTAACTAAAACTTAGAGTGGTACTTAATGATATGAGTAAAAGTAAATGGTAGAACATGTCCACTGGAAATTCTTTTTTTTTCTTCTACTTTATAATTGAAACTCCATCCACACTAAAGTATTTATTTCATCGTATGGCCAAAAGTACGCCTGTTAATTTGCTTTAACTATATCAATAGAATACCGAAATGTGTCGATGATCCTTCAATAAAAACATCTGACTGCGATGAATTATTTCATACGTCCTACAGTCTAGATCATTCACGTTCAGTCTTTTGGGTTTTTCCATTCAGATTATTAAAACATGAGCTTGTCGTCTTATGTCCCAGGGATACTCAGCGACACATAGGGAGGTTTTGTAGAGTTGGATACCTAGTGATATTTAGGAAGGTTTTTTACAGCTAGATACCAAGTGACATTTAGGACGGTTTTTTACAGCTAGATACCTAGTGATATTTAGGAAGGTTTTTTACAGCTAGATACCAAGTGACATTTAGGAAGGTTTTTTTTACA